CGTCATATAATAGCTAGTGTCGGCAAGCTGTGGGAATGCCCAGGAGATGGCGTTTGTTCAGCTATCGAAATCATTACACCGACGGCGGTGGGCAGCTCTGCTGGAACATATTTACCACAGCAGTGGTTGCGGCGTTATGTTCTGCAACAATAGCCTACAATGATGACATGTCATATAATGTCGACGAACAAAGATATAAAATTTAAAATGACTAACCTTATTCCCAGCCGATTTGGGAGACCACCCTTGGTCACGACCAGAACGCATTTACCAAGAGGAAAAACCGCAGGGACTGCAGTAGTTCTTGCAATCACCGTTGATGATGCTGTGCTTGTAATTAATAGTCTGAAAATACAAAAAAATGCATTAATGAAATCTTATACACATCAAATAAATAAATTTCAATAATTTGTTTACCATTTCACAAACCGAATTACCAAGAAATGGAAACTCGCCGCGATGCGATACAGAAATAAAAACCAACAGGGCTGCATTTTCTTGGTAAACAACACAAGCGCTCGGAGCAAACTGATCCGCAAAATTATTTTGTGAAAAATAATAGTTGAAAAGAGTTTTTACACATGATTATCACATTATGTCATAAGTGCAAATTATTGTGATTAATTTTAGTTGCATATAATTGTATTACCTTAGACTTTTTTTTAAATGTTTTCTAATATTCATTCTTTTGGGCCGCAAAAGCAACCATGCGCTCAATTTCTTGTGGGGAAATTTGGTCCCCATAAAGGACTTTCACCACGAAACAGCTACAAAAACAAAAACCTTTTCTACTGGTATACTGTGCACACGACTCGTATGTGAAAGCCGAGTAGCTCCCGGAGACTCCCGTGTGCACCACTGCTCTAGAGCTACCGCGTGCACTTTAAGTCCCCTTTCAGACACGTCAAGTCTTGCTTTCAAGTCTGCTCGTTCGTTGGCGAAGGAGGTGGGAAGAGAGGGGAAGAGTACAGATACCTCCGTACCGTCAATTCGTTTCAAGTTTTCTTGTCTCCTTTGATCTTTTCGTTGCTTCCCATTTAAGAACCAAGGACTTGAATTCAATTAAAGTTGACGCGTGTGGAAGCAAATAGAAAACACAAAAGAGAAGGCGAAAAAAATTGCTTTCAAGACTTGACGTGTCTGAAAGAGGACTAAAACGATATTTCCACGACAAGTGATTCGCTCTCCCATTCGTAATTCGCTCTCTCATTCGTGATTGGCGCCCCAATTAAGAACCGAATCATGTAATTCGCCATACAAAATTTTGAGAGCGAATCACTTCATTCGTAGGTATTCAGATCCAATCACCATGCGAATCAAGAACAAATCGTTGTCTTCTCTAATTTTTATCGATAACGGCTGTCATAACACATAGACCACACACATCCCCACCAGGAAAAACATTGAAAAAATAGCTAGATTCGATAAAACTATTGATTTAAGGCTGGTACGCAGCTCTCAAGAAATTGGTCAAGAAAAATTTGCCATTATTTCGTGTGTGTGTGTCCAAGAAATATTGACATTTTTGATATTTCACACCCTGTTGCCTCACTCTTTCCTCAAGAAATAATGGAACGGGCATATATTTCTGTTGCAAACCTGGGTTGCCTTGTGCTCTTTTTTCACAAAAAAATAGAAAAACCGTAGTAAAAAGCGTAGCAAGTTTCTTAAGAACTGCGTACTGCCGGAAGGAAATTTTACTCAAGAAAATTTCTTAGCCATTTCTTGTACGTCATTTTGTATGGAATTTAGCTTTTCTTGAGAACTGCATACAGGCCTTTAGCTAATTAACCACTAGGGACACGATATTGAACCGAAAGTATCGATATGGTACTCATTTAAAGTATCGCTTTAAAAATATCGGGTACCCATTAAAATCGGAATATCGATACCAAAATCCAAAAAATGTATCTGAATATAGGTTTCGCATATAGGCCGCTGGGGTGTAGTGGTTAGAAGTGCGCAACCCTTGAAAATGAAAAACAGCGTCCCATAAAATACAATCGCCGTTCAGAGTCGACATAAAACTGTAGGCACCCCCTTTGTGCCACAACATTAAGGCCCACGCGACAAATCGCAGGATAAGTTCGGCCAAACACTAACATATTGTGTAAACGCCGGACTTTATTATTATTACAACACGTAGAGATTGAGGTGTTGACTTAAACATTAATTACCGTTTAAAAATGTTCGTATTTAAATTAGGTGAAAAGTCTTAACCAAATGGATTTTCCATTATATATACACTACGTACAGTGACGAGCAAAACTGTAGCATGATGTAACACTTTTTAATTCACCCACCGTTTGTTGGTACAATTCTACTCCCTCTCTCATAACGATTTGAAATCAATACAACAACAATAAAAAACCCAGCAGACAAAAATGTAAATTAAGGCGAATGTTACAGTTTTGCACTTACTATCAGTTTTACATTTTACAGTTATTTTTTACTTAGTTGGAAGTCAGATGACTTTTTTCTGTATTGTAATTTATTGAAGAAGTAATCACCAGTAAATAATATATTTAATCAGGAACCATAAATGTAAATAATAGATTTACTGTGGAAAGGCGGGACCGCAGGAAAGTGGCAAAAAATTGTGGAGTTTGCTACTTGAAAATATTTAGATTGATAAAAAATATAGCCTAAAGTGTTCCCAAGAGCAAAGGAAGTCTATCAAAAAATATTACGGTACAATATCTTGTGAACTTAGCAGCAAGTAGCGATGCAGCCACTATTACAGGTATTAAACTCTAGTGCAAATCAATAGACAGCGGGGCGAAGAACTGCCAAATTGAGCGCAAAGGCACCATAAAGAAAGAAGCAAATTTGATCATAATACATGTGCGAGTGTGGCAGCATTTCGCTGCATCGCACGAAAACCGAACCGTTGCCTATTGGGATATGTTACGCCGTTCAGAATGTAATAAAAAACATATTTTTAAGTTTCAATTGAAGCTTATTTGGTCTGACAAGACTCAATTAGTTGCTTTCAATCAGATGGCCGGGCATGGTATTGGATCAAAGACCCAAATTAAGCCCATACGCAACATGTGAGGCAAATTGTGAATCACAGTGGTCGGTCAATAATCGTTTGGGGTTGTATTTAAAAAATTTTGTTTGTCCGTTAGTACGCATTATGCGTAAGGAACAGTATCTGTTCATATTTAAACAAAATTTGCAAGATGTAGTCGAAAAATGAGAGTTTCTGCTGAAAAATCACCCACAACATAGTGCATATGTTCGCAAAGACTGGATACAAAATGAAAACTTTGCTAATTGGAAATGACCTCCACAATCCGCGGACATAAAGTATCCAAGTCCATATAATCGAGTACATGAGCTGTGAAAGCAAACTAAGGATATATGGAGGATATACCTCCAGAAGTTTTACAGAGATAAAAATAAGGTATGCCACATCGCACGAAACTAAAACAAGCAAAAGGGTACTGAACATTGTGTTAGTAGTTCTTTTTTCTCGTTAAAATTGTTAAAAAGTTCTTAAAAATATATGAGTGCAAAACTGTAACATCTGCCTTAATTTACATTTTTGTCTGCTGGTTTTGTTATTGTTGTTACTGAAAAAATGCAAATCATTGTAATGAGTGCAGTGTTTAAACACTTTCAGCGATTTGCATTGCATTTAAGAAGTACACATTCTTTACTTTTAAACAACCAATTTACCATTTAAAATTAAATAATTCCGTAAATTCGCGATTTATTATGCACTTTGTAAACAAACCTTTCAATTTCGCCCCAGCTGTTCGATTCTTCTTCTTTTTCTTATTGAATTCGTCTTTGCTCTCTCATTCTGGTATATTTTGACGTCATGGCCAGTTGCTCTCAGCTCGATTGGCGCTATCTTGTATTCTATCATTCTTGGGTGTTGGCTAATTTTGTTATCGAACGCAACTAGCGTGTTTGCATGTTTCAACTTTGCGTTCAACTCAGCGCAGGGTTGCACGAAAAAAGAGTTGAATGGCTAAAAATGTCAAAATATGAAAAAATATCAAAATATTCGCCATAAAAAGGTGTTTGCATTGTTCAACTATGCATTCAACTTTTGGGTGAATGGCCTTTTAACTAACCGCTTTCAACAAAGTTGGTCGCCAGCCAACATTTAGACATTCAATGCAACAACTGCTTTACGTGTAAGCAAAAACAGCCCATTAAATGAGTTTGGTTAAATGCAGTCTTAGTCTAACAGATAACTAAACTCCAAAAAATTGGTGAAGATATGTGTCTTTCTGTCTGTCTGTTTGTTTGTGTACCAAGAAAATAAAACTTTTGAAATAATTATCTTTATTTGCTTATTATTTATAATTTATCTTTATTATTTCTGATATGTATGTAAATTAAATACAGTAGAACTTCGTTAATCCGGGTCAATTAAAACCAGCTCAATCTGGACTATACGGGAATCCAGATTACAGAGGCATTACAATTTATGAGAAATATAATAATATAATAAGTTTTTGTTCATTATGATAAAAGAGCTATAACAATGACTTCAATGTAAACATTCAAAGTAAAATAGCGAGACCGCGGTCGGTATGGGTTACAAGGTAAATAATAGAAATTTTTAATTTTTTAACCCTGATTAGAGCATATCCGGATTAACTGCTTGTAACCGCCAAAGCGATTTTGGCCGAGTCCAAAATAGCACGCCAAACTGGAAATGTCAAGTGAAGCCAAGTGTTTCTCTACCCGCTCTTTCCAACGCAAAGTAGGCCTTCCTCTTCCTCTGTTTTCAGAGCTGGAGCGTTTCTGTCCATTCGAACGACGTGACCTAGCCACCGGAGCCGCTGAATTTTAATCCGTGCGCTCTGTCTATATCGCTGTAAAGATCACACAGCTCATCGTTAAATCGTCTGCGGTATCCGGCATCGCCAACGCGCAAAGGCCCGTAAATTTTGCGTAGAGTCTTTACCTCGAAAACTCACAAGAGCCACTTCATCAGATGTTTTCATTATACATACAAGTTATTGCCTGGTCGCCAGTGGAAACACAACTTGTAGTAATGATTACCGTTTACAAACTGAACCTGTATTATTTTATTGACTATTCTTTTTATAATACAAAATTGCTTACTTGCTAATATAATGATTTTCATTTACAATATAATTGTATACTTGCTAAATCAGTATTTTGTTTATGGAAATTTTATACAATATCGCTTACTCGCTAAATTCATCATAATTGGGTTATTTCTTACTTATTTTGTTATTGCAAGTCGCGGCGGCTGATATTCCGTCGCGATCGCTTTCGCTAAATATTGTTGTAATTTAATGTTGGCTAGTCATCAATTTGCAAATGGAACAGGTAAGTAAATTAATAAAAGAGTTCTTCACATTTTGTCGCGATCACTTCCGTTCGCACAAAATGTGAATTTGCTGTTTCTGCATTTTTGTGAACAGAGAAT